TTTTTTTTTTTTTGCGGAACCAGGGATTGAACTCAGGCCCTTGCACTTGCCAGGGAAGCGCTTATTCCACTGAGCCATCTCCCCGGCCCAAAAAGCCCATTTTTATGTCATATATAATCTATAATTTAAAAACTTGTATGAGGCAAAAGCATTTGTTATTCCCATTTTCACTATACCACTGAATCAGTTCCTTCCTTCCTCCATGTCCTCTTTCTTTCTTTGATGGTACTGGAGACTGAAGCTAGGGCCTTACACATAAGCTAGGAAAGCACTCTACCAGGGAGCTACATTCTTAGCCTCCTCCCATATTCTTTCAGTATTAGAGGTTGAACTCAGGAACTTTGGCATGAGCTACATCTCCAGTAGCTTTAAAATTTTTTTAAATTTTAAGGCAGGGAGGGGCCAGGGGATAGCTCAATAGAATAAGTGCTTCCCTGGCAAGCATAAGGGCCTGAGTTCAATCCCCGGTTCTAAAAAAAAAAAAGAAAGAAAGAAAGAAAGAAAGAAAGAAAGAGAGAGACAGGGTGTCACTAAGTTGCTAAATTGCTCAGGCTGGGCTTGAACTTGGAATCCTCCTGCCTCACCCTCCCAGTGTTCTGGGATTACAGGACAAGGTCCATCCATCCTTTCTTTCTTCCTCCAAGCTTTCCCCTACACAGATTTATTGAATGTAAAATTTTATATACAAAGTAACCTGGACCTCCTGCCTCAAAACACGATCCTTTTCTAATATCCTGATATACTGGTTACAAAGCAACTTAATCAAAAACAAAGGGGGGGGGGGGCGCTTCCCCTTAGCACAGTTCTTTAAGTGGCTGCTTCAACAAAGCAGTCAGGCTCAGGTTGCTGTGGTTCAATCCCCACAACTCAAGCCAGCCAAACCTGCCCTGAAGGCATTCGGAGAAAAAAAAGTCCTTCTGACATTAAAAAAAAGAAAAAAGAAAAATGCGTAGTGCACATCAGATGCATGGCCTAGCCAGTGGAACTGTAATAGTTTTACAAGACCATTATCATGTAGGACTGAGTCTCAATGGAGGGGTGGGTGCTAAAGAACTGACAGGGGACATTAGAAGGCCATTTTGTGACTGCCACCGTGATGCTATGATGCTTCTGGATCATACTGTTCCCATTATCTGATTCTACACACACCACAGGAATCTCAGTGGGGTCAGGGGTCAGTATTAGCTGCTTGCTGAGCCTGGATAGGTATCACCCCAGCACCTCATCTGATAAGAGTCCCTCAGCAGATTAAGTCTTTGTGAGTCTGTACACAGGACTCCAACAATGGAGGCATTCTTCACTGTGTCCTCCAAATGCTGCTCTAAAGTTGCCTCCATCCTACCTGCCGTCCACCCTGACCGGGACACCAGAACAGGGTCTTATTTGCCTGGGCTGGTTTCAAACTTCTGATCCTTCTGCTTCAAGCTTCCTGAATAGCGAGGATTATATGGGTGCACTACAGCACCTGGAGAGTAAACTGCTTCTTAAAACAGTACTAGTAATAATTACTGTTGTAATAACAACAGTAAAAGGGCTGGAGAGATGGCTCAGTGGTCTAAAGCACCTACTTGGAACAAGCTTGGCAAAGCATCAGGGACCGCGGTTCAATCCCCCAGCACCACATGCCAGCCAGCCCCGCCCCCTGGTGGGCTGAGCTGGCCACACACACACACACCACACACTCTCTCTCTCTCTCTCTCTCTCTCTCTCTCTCTCTCTCTCTCTCTCTCTCTCTCATAAATAAAAAATAAATAAATAAATAAAAAAAAATAAAAAATAACAACAGTAATGGATACTTCCAGGATACTCAGGTTGCCCCAGTAATTCTGCCTTTTTAAAAAATCTTACCGTGGAAGAAGCACTGGCATGTCGGGCAGCAAGAACAAAACAGGATGAGTTCTGCAAAGAAAAACAACAACAAAAAATCTGTATTACTTACTCATCTCTTCTTTATATCAAAAGGGCTATAGGGACTCAAGTCTTTCTTCATAAGACCATTATTTGACATAAGGAAGCTGCAAGGCCACAGAACAGCTTGGAAGACATTACCAGTCTGAAGACAACAGCAGCGCTAAGTGCCTGCAGTATCCCAGCATCATTAGCATTCCCTGGGACTCCAGGGCAGGGCAGTTGTTGGAGTACTCAGCCCACCCCATCTGAGCACTGCCTGTGCTTCTGAAACCCAGTAAGGAAAATAAATGGGGGGGGGGGCGGGGAGATGGCTCAGTGGAATAAGTGCTTCCCTGGCAAGTGCAAAGGCCTGAGTTCAATCCCCAGTTCCACCAAAAAAAAAAAAAAAAAGAAAGAAAGAAAGAAAATAAATGGGGAAACTGACCAATTACTAATGCTGCTGGCAAGATCTGCCCAGCTCACAGCGTGTGGGCAGCACCCAACCTCTCCAGCCTGGGAGGATGCGGAGGCAGAGGGTGTCTTCTCACAGCAGCACTTGCAATCCTTCTGGGAAAGCACAGGGAAAACAAGAAACTAAAAGGAAGTAACTGACAGGAGACTACAAAAAAAAAAAAGATAAATCAAATAAAGCTGAAAAATTTTCTAAGATGTGTCAAAAGAAAATAATCATTAAGGTATCCTTAGACATGTTTGTGTGCATGTGTATTTGTATTTATAACTTAATGAGAGGGTTAAAGACTTTTTCAGATTAAAAAAAAAAGTATCACCCATATACCTGAACTGGAGGAATTTTTTAAAATATCTCAGAAAAATTAACTAGAAAGATACAAAAAAAAAGAAAAAAAGAGAGGGCCAGCCAGATAGCTCAGAAGATTAAAGTTCCTCTTAAGCAGATGCAAGGACACTCCAAAGACCCCGGGGTGCACTGAGACAGTGACTGAGAATGGGTGTGGTGGCACACACCTGTAATCCCAGCGCTCTGGAAGGCTGAAAACAGGAGAATCACTAAAGTCCAATCTGTGCAGTGAGACCCTATACTAAATACATTAAAAAAAAAAAAAAAGATGTGCCTGAGACTCAAGAAAGTTATCCATCAGTACAGAGATAAATGGCATAGTTTATGTTTTCTATGTTTAGATATTCTCTCCCCAACCAAAGAAAAAGTGGTTGCTATGAGAATACTGAGCTGCAACAGAAATTCAGCATTCATTCACTGATTTATTTATTTACAGGGTCTTGCTATGTAACCTAGGCTGGCCTCAAACTCAAACTCATGGTGATCTTCCTGCCTTAGTCTCCCAAGTGCTGGGATTACAGGCATGGGCCACCACATCTGACTAACACCAACTTTAAAATATGACAACCAGTTATGTTACTAGCTTTTAAAGTATATGTGGCCAGGGGGCTGGGGAGATGGCTCAGTAGAATAAGTGCTTGCCTGGCAAGCGCAAGGGTCTGAGTTCAATCCCCAGTTCTAAATAAATAAATAAATAAATAAATAAATAAATAAAGTATATGTGGCTGGGAGATGGCTCAGTAGAGTAAGCGCTTGCCTGGCAAGTGCAAGGGCCTGAGTTCAATCCCTGGTTCCACAAAAAAATAAAGTATATGTGCTGTCAAAGCAAGAGTTACATTGTACTAGGTAAGTAGAACCAAGGCCTTTAAGTAGAATAAATTTTCTGTACTAGGTTATTATGGTTTTTTGAGATAGGACCAAGGCCTTTAAGTACAATAAATTTTCTGTACTAGGTTATTATGGTTTTTTGAGATAGGACCAAGGCCTTTAAATACAATAAATTTTCTGTACTAGGTTATTATGGTTTTTTGAGATAGTCTCCCTAGTAGTTCAGGATGTCCTTGATAGCAATCTCCTGTGTCAGCCGCCCAAGTACTGGGATTAAAGGCATGTGCCACACCTGACTGCACTAGATTATTTTGAAGATAGAATGAGATCAAAGCCTCAGTTTCCTCATTTATAAAACAGCATTAAGAGTCAACACATATTTCACAAAGTTGTCTTGTAACAATTAAATTACAATAGATGTGAAAGTGCTTTGCAATCTAAAAGATTACATATACATATATGTGTACAAGTAAACCAATCCTGGAACAAGCCTATGCCTTTCCTCCTGCTGTCCAAAAGGCCGTAGATACCTCTTCTAGCAACTACGGCACTGCTGTCTGTGCTAAAAAATCTTTAGAGCCCATGGTAATGTATATATTACAAAATGCTACATGCCAAGAGTAAGTTTCTGTAGAGCCTTTTAGAATTTAGTATCCCTTCTTCCTGTTGCAGGAAAAGAAAAGACTAGGCTGGGGAGATAGTTTAGCCACATAAGCACCTTCCTGGCAAGTGCCAAGATCCTGAGTTAGATCTACAGTACCAAAAAAAAAAAAAAAAAAAAGGAAAAGAAAAGATTGAAAAGAGACCTTTAGAAAGGCTGCTTTTAAAACAATCAGCCCAAGGGGCGTCCAAAATGCCTCTAATCCAAGCAGTGAGGGAGTTGAGGCAGGA